CTTTCTGATGGTAAATGGACATTTTTTTGTCGTTGCTAAAAACCTTGTTTCTTGCAAGGGCCCCTGTTCTTACGTTCGCCCAGGGCCTAAAAAATGTCAGGAACGGGCCTGAGTGCACTTTTATGTGTGGTGGTTGAAAGATGGAATAGTGGCCAAAGAAGATTGCCAGAGAAGGTTTGTGGTTGAGGATGAGATGCATTTTTTGTTTTTGTTTAGTTTTTATTGCTAAATACTTATATGTTTGTACAAAATACATTCAAAGTTGTTACAAACAACAATATTAATTAAATAAGTAAAATGACTAAAACACATAGCCTATGTTTGGTATATGGGACGCGATAGGACAGGACGGGACAAAACTCACTGTCCCAAATTTGGCGCAACATGGGACAGAACAAGAACTCACTGTCCTACATTTGGTGCGACATGGGATAAAATATGACAACATGGGACAAAAGAGACTTTTTCTTGTTCCACCAAAATAGGTAGAACACGATGGGACAAGAATGAGATGAAAACTAAAATACTACTAATCTACCTTAGTTTGATATATAATCTTAATATGATATTTGTTTTAATGGTCACAAGAAAATATATCATATCCTAATATAAAAATAGAATTTACACGAGAATGGAACAATCAATAGAGTCGACGGGAGATAAATTATAGAGAATATATCAAAGTTTTTGAAGCAAGTAGTTTTAGATGTCGACTTTAAATAAAAAAACTTAGAAAAACATTAAATAATATTATATAATGAACGACAGATTAATCTTTTGACAGATTAACCTCTTTATGTATTTTTTCTCCAATATATTTAATTCATACATGTTTGGGTCTTTAATAATTAATGTAGTACCAAAATCTTTTCTTGTCATATTAGATACTAATTTTTTTATGTGTCTTATATTTACTAATTTTTTTGAACTACTATTTTATATATTAAAAAAATTGGGCCCCTAATTTTTAGGGCCCTGGGCGTACGCCCAGCCCACCCTCCCCTAGGGACGGCCCTGGTTACAAAGTACTCTACAAATGTTTGACTAATATTAGTAGTTTGTTTAATTATAAGTCACAATTCTAACTGAAATCTCATATAAGGTGACAAAATCATGATGTTCGTTTTGTAACAAATTTAATTGAAATCTCATTTGAAGTTATGAAAAAGAAACGTTCTATAATATTTCAAGTGCAAATTAGAGGAGTGCGTAAGTTGTAGCAACAGTAGTGGAAGTTCAAGGCGATGCATGAAAAACCACATCACCAAGCTAAGATAATGAATTTTTTCTCATAAAAAATAAAATTAATATCAAATGGGGTCGATGACCCACATATCAGATATTAAATTGATAAAAACAAATACTGCACTTTATTGTAACACCAAGACGACAGATAAATAACTACATCATCAAGTAGTATAAGGGGCATTCTCATATACAAAATAAAATACCAAGCAAGTTGAAAACTCATATATTAGATATCAAACTTAAAACATATAATATACTTGATATAACCAAAAAAAAAAACCTGAGATTCGGGATAGATATGTTAAACTAAAAACATATACTACATTTGATCTTAAGCAAAAGGTCGACATCCGAGAAAAATATGTTTGTTCCATTTTTAGTAATTTGTTTTTTGTAGTAATCTTCATCTTGCCACTTTCACTCCATCATGCTATGCTGGATGCAATTATGCAAACAATATTGAGAAAAATGTTGGCTTTTATCTTTTTRTATCCTCCTCTCACATGTCTCTTTCTTCTTTGATCCAATGTGGGATGCAAACAATAATGTGAGGAAAAAAATGATTTATATCGCTTAGAAGTTGTCACCTGATTATCCATGGTTATTGTTTTTATATAGATAAAAATAAAGATATAAAAATATAGATTATAGATATATAACTATTGTCATGAATTTGCGGCAATACGTTAACATGTAAATTCTTTACATATAGGTTTATTTTATTTTATTTTACTTGTAATCATATAATCAAGTTTAGTTAATCTAAAAAAGTTATCATAGATTCAATTTTAATTATAACAAACTAAAACAATCAATAAATTGTTCGTTATATTATTTTAAAGTTATTAATTCAACTTTATAATATAAAATATATACTAAAGTCAAATTATTACATTTCATTGTTATTTTAAAGTCAATTGATATAAAAGAAATGACATAAAAATCGGGTCATCCAAGTAAGATAACCTTATTATCAAGTCTCAACAGTTGACACAATGAATTTCATCCTTCTTACTTATACGTACCTTCTTATTCCAATCTTTCAATCTCTCACCAATATGGGATATCACAAACTCAACCACAATTCTCACCAATACCTCAGTACTCAATTCTCTTGATTTCATATCAATACCTCTTGGTTTGCTCGGTGATCAAAACTCAGTTTAAGAAAAATGTAAAATCCTCGACTCGAGTGGAAGTGTGATATCTTTCCAACGGGCATCCTATATCTACTAAAGGGAAGGGGAAGAAGTAGGCATAAACAACAATTGAATTGGGATCAAAGAATTAAGGGTGTCTGAAAACTCGGGATCGTGTTTATATTTATAACGTCTCGTCCAACACCGTAAATCACGATTCGAAGAATACTAACATAAGATGAAAGCACGTCATTAAGTCAACACTTACATTATATATAAGTGATATAATAGATACTTGGACTACATTTGTTATTATAAGTACTGCAATAATAACAAATTTTGTTAAGAAAAAAAATGTATTATTTGCATTCGTTTTGCATAAATATTTTACCAATTGGTTGGTTTTAATTTCAACCATGACTATAGATTTCAAAACTCTATCTCACATTTATACATTCATCATTTTCTTCCAAACTATCATCTGTCTAACAATGTGAGATGATGAAAGTCAACCTTATTTCAGATTTGAAAAACACTCAAACCTCATGTTGAGGAACGAACGGGATTCGGAGCTTGCTGACTCGAAGAAAGAGGGCTAGGCCCCCGGGAGGACTTTCAGGGACGCGGGCCGGATGGCGGCGGGCGCGGGAATAATCATCCTTGGTTTCACTTTTATATTTGCACTATAATTTTTACCATTTAGTTGGTTTTGATTCCACCYATGGTATAGATTTCAAAGACGGTCATCCAAAATAAGACAGTCTTATGAGGCAAACTCCAAGATTTGATTCCATGGTTTCACTTTTATATTTGCACTATAATTTTTACCATTTAGTTTGTTTTGATTCCACTCACGGTATAGATTTCAAAGACGGTCATCTAAAATAAAACAACCTTATGAGGCAAACTCCATGAATTGATACAAAGACATYCAATCCACCTTTCTTATACACTTCACTTTATTYAAAACTTTCAACTCTTCATCAATCTGGGACAACTAAAACTCAACCATAATTCATCATATGAGAATACTCAATTTTCATAGTGCCACCTCAATACCCCAAGGTTTTCTATATATATATATATATATATATATATATATATATAGATAGATAAAGTTTTTTTTTATTTCATTTGGTTGGTTTTCATCCCAATCATGCTTATATATTTCAAAGAGGGTCATCCAAAGAAAGACAACCCTATGAGGCAAACCCCATTATCTGACACAAAGACATTCAGTCCACCTTTCTTATACACTTCATTTTCTTCAAATCTCTCAACTCTTCACCAATATGGGATATCTCAAACTCAACCACAATTCACCAACACCTCAATACACTATTCTCATGATGCCACCTCAAACACTCATGGTTCTTCTTTTAATATATATATATATATATATATATATATATTACCGCTAGTTTCGGCCGTCGCCACCAACGACGATCACCGTCAACCACCTTCACCTCCTCTTCCACTATAATATCCTCCCCTGCCTTCACAACCACCGTCCTTCACCACCTCTACCACAGTTGACCACCGACCACCACAGTCCATTGTCACCAACCCTATCGTCGTTGGCCATCTCCAACTCCTACTCTACTACAACAACCTCCTTCATCACCTCCACAACCATCGTCGCCCACCGACTACCACTGTCCATTGCCACCTTTAACACCACCATCGGCCACCGACCACCACCATCCATTGCCACCAACACTACCATCGTTGGCCACCTCCAACCTCTTCTCTACTGCAACAACCTCCTCTATGACCTCCACAACCACCGTCGACCACTGACTACCACCGTCCATTGCCACCACCATCACTATCGTTGGCCACCTCCAACTCTTCCTCTACTACAACAACCTCCTCCATGACCTCCGTTGACCACCGACCACCACCACTACCTTCATTATATCGCCAACACTACCACCATTGTCACCTCACCTCCATCATAACCACAACTATTACCTTCATTATATCGATCACAACTACCTCCTCCACCGTTGTCAACCACCACCACCACCACAATCCACCATCTTTACGTCCTCCACAACCACCGTTGTCCACCAACTACTGCCTCTACCTCCATAATCAACACCATCTCCACCACTATTATCCACCACCACTAATACCTCCATCACCACTACTACTACAATTAATTATATTAAAATTTTCATTCAAATTTGGTACCATTATACATGTACGTATATATTTATATGAAAATTGTGTAAAAATATATATAAATTAAATTCATTAATTAATTACTTTATTTGTGTTAATTATAACTATTATATAATATTTAAACTCATCAAATAACATTTGGGAACAACTTTTCTAGTTCTGTCTCGTCCAGTCTTAATCGTACCAAACATTAGACAAACATTTATTTTGTCCAATCCTAATATCTTATCATATCTAATTCTGTCTGTCCTATCGAATTCTGTCCAATCATACATGTTGACCAAATGTTACCTTAATGAAACCTTTTTAATAAAGTTATGAAAAGAAACACGACCCTTAACAAAAATAAAGGAATAAGAATGCTATGTATAATTTCTAGGGTTAAAGAACCCAATATATTCCACATGGGATAAATTTGTAATTTGCTCTTTAATTCACAAATCATAAAACCTTGTCTTCAACCTTCTAAAACCCCTCGTTCGCTATTGCCGGTGAACACCACCGAATCATGGCGGTTATTGAACATCTCGTCTCTCAAGCTCGCCGTCACTGCTTCTCCTCTTCTCTCATTCGCAGTTGCTCCTCGCCTAATTCTTCGTTCACATGGCTTCATAGATCATTCTGTTCATCTTCATCGCCGATACAACCCGATCCAAATCCTCCACGTAATGAAACCAATCGGAACAGGCCCCAACCTTTATCTGTTCAACCCATTTCTTACGCCGTTAAACCTAAAGTCCCGTTTCCATCTTCGCATCAAGAGCCTGCGAGCCTTGAACAATCCGACCCGAATGTGGATAACCCACAACCACAGGCCAACGTGGAGTCGCGAGCTTGGAGTCGCGAAGACGTCAGGTTCGTGAGGGACTTCAATCCGTCACCGGTGGTTTCATATCCTAAAAGGGTGGCGCCATTGCCGGAGGATAAGACGCAGGAAGCTGATGGTGAAGCTGAGAGGACGAATGAGGAAATGGATGCAGAGCGGAAGAAGATTGAGGCTGAGCATCGGGTAATGAGGAGGGTTTTTAGGATTGAAGAACCAAAGGTTCCTTTCCCGACTTTGATCAAGGTGGAGCAGCCCCAAAACACGAAGGGGCAAAAGGTTGTTCATGATCTCAAGGAGGCCGTACAGCTTGTAAAGGTCTGTATGTTTTCTTGATGCATCATACCCACTTTTCTCTTACTTAGCTATTGCTGAAATATGCAATGGAGCTCTTGAAAGAATTACAAATGGTAATTGAAAAAATATTGTAACTCAAAATTCCTGGTGAGATGAGGTTAGAGGATGACGTTCTGCTGCCTACTAGAAACAGTGGTGTTTCTCCCATTGATGAATTCTCGAACTGGATCTTTAATGGTTGCAGTTCTTTGGGATGCAGCACATTAGCTCATAAAAAGAACCTGGCTTGAATGATCCTAATATCTCGGAGTTATAGACTACAAATTTATAGGAGTATGAGAATTGGATGGGTATTTCATTTATGGAAACAAGAACTGAAATTCATAATCTGCAAATTGGAAAAAAAAGCTTAAATCAGTTATCAACAACAAGCTTACGTTGTATGACTTAAAAAAGAGGAGATATAAAACAAACATTCTATGTTTTTGGTAGGAAAGGAGTATCATATTATAGGGTATTGATGTTCACAAAATACCGTTGAGCTATTTCTGATTTCTCTTACTTGTTTTGTGTACAAGAGTAAACCTTTTTTTTTTGCCCGGGTGACTCATGCCTGATTAGTTACTTTTTCACATTTTTGTTATACATGGCTAATGTTCCATCTACACTGAAATCATAATCTCTAGCAGATAATGGTCTCATTATTTCCTGCTAATCTGCTTTGACATCTTTGACTAAATTTCTGATTTGTTTGTTTACTATTGATCTTTCAGAAGAATGCCATGTGCAATTTTGATGAGACCTTGGAAGCGCATGTAAAATTAGCTGTTGATTTGCGCCGTACTGATCTGGTATAATTTTCTTTTTAACCCTCTTATAATACCATGAAATTTAGCTGAACTTGTACGTAAGTTCCATGCAAGCCCCTCTCAACATGGTCTTAACAAGTTTTAGGTCTTTCTGGGGGTGGATGTGGTCCCAAGGAATTGACATCTGTGGGAATCAAACCTAAGATTTTATTGCTTATGAGGCAAGTTCCAGTGACTAATGATATAACACATGGCCAGAAAAGCTACATTATAATTGGCTTAAATACTGTAAGCTCGGTATTTGTCACCTTTTAAATCAAAATATTAGTTTCTATATCTTTTTAAACCACGAACGTCTTTATTTAATTACTAAGGTTATTTATCAGCTTCAACTGCTATGCTTATGGTACAAAAAGATTTTTTTTTTCTGTATTAAGTGGGAAGATTACTTAAAAGCATATGAAGGATAAACGAACAATCTATTAGCTTCTACACAATGTGCAGACTGTTCAAAAATAGAACTATACTGTGTATGAGGAGTTAATTTCCCTTTTTAAAGCTGAATGGATCGTGTTTGCTTTTGGAATTGCTCCTTCATGGTGGATAATGGCTTAACATAATCTTTTCTTGAATAGCCAAAAATTGATATGCTGATGTCTCTAAAGAGACTTGAATTCAAGACCTAGGGGTTGTAGAGATTCACCGATACTATTAGGCCAGCACCACTGAAAATCATCGACCGTGGGGATAAAGCTATGGGTTTGTGTTTGTTAATGCATGCTTGAATGTGTTCATGCATTTCAATATTTGACCTTTAACAAACTGAAACTAAATGAGGGAGAACAAGAAATCAGAAAAGAACAGAAGAATAATATAGGAAGGCTACTCATATGTAGAAAAGAGAACAATATGTATTTATATCATAATATGTCATTTATTTTTGAACTCTTGTATCATATTAGATATATTTGGCATTTAGTTTTATTCGACTCTCTTTTACTATCCTATACTAGTTAGGCCTACTGATTACAACAATTTTTGGCTAAGTCACTTTTAATGATGGTCATCTTCCCAGAAAATATGGAGGTTAAGTTCTTCTGTTCTCTATGTTTAACACAAATTACTTCAAATATTTTTGTATTTGACAATCTGTCTCCTAGTCTGACCACCAAGAAGAAGTTGAGTTTACTTGGCATTTTGGAATCTGCATGATCAACATGATATGCGTGCTGAGCTTTATTGTATTTATTCATGAGCTACTTAGCTGAAGGTCAGTTTGTATGTATGTTTCTATTTCTGATGCCAAAAACAAAAATATACTCTTATCGAGGATGTTATTTTGGAATCTTTGCTATTTGATCCGCTACAGGTCATGTAGACATTAAACTTATGGGCAATAAGTTCTGCCCAATTTTTCTCGAAATAGCAGGGATGCTTTTGGTTTATGGCTCCAACTTTAGAAACATGCTATATAATACCTGAACAAGTTAACATCATATGAACTATGTATGCAGTATCTAAATTTCTTTGATCCGGTTATTTGCGATATCTGCTTGCTTGTTGTTTTTATTTGTGAGCTTTAATTTAATTGTGTTTTCTTTCTATTCTGTTCATTTTGCTGATTCTCATAGACTAAATTGGTTTTTCATGTGACAATGAAGTATTGTAGAAGGCTTGTTAACTACATGATTGTTTATTTTGTTCCATTTGACTTGGCTCATCTTATGCTGTTACTCTGTTTTGTAAGTGCAGAAGCTTACTGGCTCATTATCTCTTCCTCATGGCAGTGGAAAGGTACTATCCACATTTGTCCATTATTGATATACTATTTCATGCTTCTGTTGTAGTTAGATTATCTCACATAGTTTATCATTGCAGGCTCTTCGGGTGGCTGTGTTTGCTGAAGGAGCTGCTGCAGACGAGGCTAGAGCTGCAGGTGCTGATTTGGTGGGTGGTGAGGATCTTATAGAAGGAATAAAAAACGGTAATTCACCAGTCTTATGCTATGCTATTTTGATGTATTCCGTGTATAAGAGTTTCTCGAGTGTGGGGTTGCAAACTTTATTAAGATAATAGGCGTGAAGATTTTCTCGTCTATTGTTAAAACCCTCTTAAAGTCTATCGTGAGCTACTTTGTCTACTAATGGCATTTTTTAGAGGAAAGAAAATGGAGAAAGTTGATGCCCCAATGTCAGATGGTCTACCTTCTGTGTTTGCTCTTTACTTTGCCTTGTGTATTCATTGCTACTTCCTTTAGCCTCTTCTGTTTTACTTGCATTCAGTGGTTGGACTTTAATGTACTTCCCTCGATTGTTAAGATATTTTCTTTTTCTGTTTTGTTGAAGACCAATCAAGGTAGCTCCTTTCTTGATTGGTAAAAAAGATAAAAGGAAAAGAAATGGGGTTTTCATATTGTGTATTGATTTAGAAGAGTATATATACAAAGAAAGTATGAGCCCCTGAGCCCTTTTAATGCACATCTTTGTTTTGCTAGCTATACATGTCATACTTATGAAAGCCCTTTTATTTTTTAGAGTAAAGCGGCTGTTTCTGTGAAGGCCCGCTACTTGTGCAAAGTGTGCGCAAACAAAGAGTATGGCTTGCTCATATTTTTTGCAGAGAAAGAACATAAGAAGAACTTGAGAATAGGAAAAGCAGTGCTAAAGATTGGAAAATAGTTAGAAAGTATGCAACAACAATAAAAAAGAGGGGACAAACAACAAATAAAGCATGCTGAGAGAAGTAGGAACAAGAAAACACAACTAGGGTAGGAATAATTGCACACCCCTAGTCTGCTACTCTTATCTTATGTATCCAAGAACTCCTATAAGAAGTCATGTCCTTGGGAATATCTAAAGTCACCATGTCTAACTGCAGCTGCTCATCCCAAGTTCTTCTCATCGTACCCCGCATTCTCACACTATCTACCCTCCTCATGTGAGTTGCCATCTGTCTTCTCCGAACATGACCAAACCACCGATCTTCCCTCTCTCAACTCCCAATAGAAAAGAAGTTTGGTATTCTGTCAAACATGGTCCGACCACACATCCATTTAAGTATCCTCATTTCTGCCACTTCCAATTTCCTCTCTTGGGCTTTCCTTATAGCCCAACATTTCGACCCATACAATACAGCTCGTCTGATGGTTATCAGATAGGTTTTATTTTTCAGTTTTAACGAAACCTTCTTGTAACACCACGCCCCTTGGTGGCTTTCTACTTTAACCACCCCGTCTTTCAGCTACAGTGAGATGTTTCTATATGAGGACGAATGACTGTGCTTTGGTTCTCTCATTTCAGCTTCGTTGTGTGGGTTCATATGATCATGTTCATGGCGTTCACATTGTGTGCAGCCCAATAGTGATGTAGATCAAACTCATATAGGGATGGATTTATCTTGTGCTTTTTCATATATTCATATTAGTCAAATAACCAAAACCTAAACTGTTTGCGTTAATTTTCACCTTGTTTTGAGGATCTGGGACCAACACATTGATTGTTAATGAGATGATTCATCATCATCTAGTGGTCTGCATTAGTAATGCTGGTACAAGAGATGCTTACGGCTGATTGTGAATTTCTCTCTAAAACCTGCAAAAATGAAATGAGAAAGCATTTACCTCTCTTACCTAAAAGGGCGCCGCATGACAATGACATAGTGGGAGTTCAATAGAATTTAGAGTAGAGATATATAGAGAAGGAAAGGTGGAATAAATGGGATTGGCAAGTAATATAAGAATCCAGCCCAGAATGAGTAAAATAAAATCATATATTGGTGTAGGTAAATCGCTATGTTTACTATTACTTAAAAGTGGAGTTTACAACTTATTACTGCATACTTACAATTTCTTAAAGCTTCACATTTGAACTCCATAAATGAAGTGATAAACAAGTTTAAACACAAGATGAGCATTGAGCCCTTCTAATACGGCAAAATACTCCATTAAACTAAAATGAATTACATGTTTATTTTTAAACCTAAAGTATTTAAATGACAACAAAAATTTGAATTAAGCAAATTATATCAAAAAAGCTAGAATTATATAGTCTTTGATTTGACATCCTTATCCATGTATATTTTTTCGGGGTTTTTATACCAAGTCTTCATATTAACAAAACATGTTCAGTCACCGCTTGCAATTTCTATTTTGTTCAAACGTAAATTATGGATTTTTTTTTTCAATGTGAGGTTGCATTGATTTTCAATTCTGGTGTACAGTAAAATTTTACATCCCACTGCATTGCATCCGTACACAACTAGTATATTAAAATAAGAGAAAAATAAATCAAAATCTTCCATAAATATATTGACTATGTGAAGAATTGAGATGCTAAGAGTGGAATTTTAGTTTGTTTGAGGGTTCTCTTGTGAGTTTGTCATTTGAGAAAGCATACTCACTTGTTTCGCTAGGACTAGTGAGTTATCAGTTGTCATTTGGCTAAGTTAAAGATAAAGTGTGGGGACATTCTTGTATTGGTTTGCATCGAGTTTTTAAACTCTCTTTTTTACATTTTTCAATGATTTTCAATGCTCTCATAATGATAAATCTTCAGTGAAAATATCTTTATTTTCTGCTTTTGTCAAAACTCAATTTAATTGGACCGTGGACATTAGTAGTGAGGATGCCGAGGAACATATACAATAGAAATTTTATTAAGTTATTGTCAAAATATTTGATAAAATGTGAAGCTTCGGTGTGTACACTGACAAAAATTGGCCAATGAAATGCAAAAATGTCCTGATTTGAATGGCTTATATGTCGTAATAATCTCATCATATATTGTCGATTCTACTCATTGTTTTGTATTCCTTCGATGTCTCGCAAGCTTTTTTCAGGGACAAACCTAGACCTATGTCCCTCGGATGTTGTTTGTTGGTTAATCGTTATCTTAGAAGATATTTCATTTCAACTGAGTTCATGTTTAGTTAGTCGTCTACCCAAGTTAGGAGTTCTTCATAGTAATCTAGTTCTAATCTGGCAACCGCTGCTATAGCGAAGAAATGTCTTTAATGAACACATTAGAGGTTTAAAATTTATTTTTTTGTGCAATCATGTTGTTATAGACCCTTCTTCTATTCTGTCTGCTTATGTTCATAAGGAGACTTGCTTGCTGATAGATCGGTGACGTATGCAGAAGACCCAGGTTAACTTCATGTCTTGCAAGTCCTGTAAATGGACACAAATGGCTGATTTGAGTAGTGTTAGATGTAAAATATACTATTATTTTGTATGTTAATGTTTTTACACTCACATACACATCAGAGCTGCTGTTACATCTGCTATATATATTCAGGGTTCTCACTAATACATTCTTATGACACCTGAATCTCTAGATTCATAGCAAGTCCTTTAGAAGAAAATGACTAGTTTGGTATTTTGGGGATGACATTTGATCAATATGTTTAAACAAACTACGAAGAAGTTGCATATTATATGCTAGTTAGTAGTAAGATGATTTAGGCCCAACTGGTCTTTTCTTGCAGACTGTTTCTTGCATATGATCTAGGAAAATTTCTGACTGCTGGTTTGGCACTTAAGGAGTTGATATCACGTATGGTTTCTGGGATTCGACAGGATTTGGAATTGAATTGCATTCCAATCCTATGATTGGTTTGAAGGAATACTTGGATTTAAAATCCCGGGATTTCAATGAAATCTTACAAACATGGGATTTAGAAATCCCATGGGGGTAGTTGGGTATTTCGCGGGATTTCATAGGATTTTTTAATAATGTTTTGCAATATGTTAAATGCACTTGTTTTGTAATAATCAATTAATAAAAAGGTATTTTAACTATTTAAAACAAAATATAATTTGTTTTTATAAAGAATGGAATTCCAAATCCTTCAAAAACATTCCATCAAACCAAACGGGCCCTTAGTGGGGAATTGAACTTTTAAACTTGAGGCAGTTGATTCAAATAAATAACACTAGGCAAAGCCCTTTAGAGTTGTACTTGATCTACAACTAAATATGATTTTCGAAATCCTTTTTTCTAATTCAACTTTTGTGCAGGGAATATTAACATAAAAGAAATTGACAAGTGCATTGCAGTTCCTCAACTGATGCCACAAATAGGGAAAGAGGTCTGCATTTCTATCTCAGGATGTGAAACTTGATCAAACTATCCATCATATCAACTAGTGAAATTTATGATTTTCTTTTTGCAGATATCCAAAAAACTCAACCGTTTGACGCCAAATGCGAGAGTCAGTAATAACTCATTTTTTTTTCTCTCTAAAGAAAGAATAAAAATACTTACTTTATCCTGTAGTGATCTATCCATATCATGCTTATGAGTCATTGTTTTGTTTCCTTTTACAGGATGGTTCCGTAACCACTGATATTTCAAGGGCAGTGAAAGAAGCAAAGAAAAACATTAAGTTTAAGAAAGACAAGTCTGCTATTGTTCATGTTGGTCTTGGAAAGGTATCATAATCAATTTTGGATTTATCTTTATGTTATATATGGATTCTGTTAATCTCTTTGCATAACCATCTGAAACAGGTCAGTTTTACAGAAGAGGCTCTATGTGAAAATATTGGTGCTTTTGTTAATGCTCTTTTGCTTGCGAAGCCAACAGGCTTAAAGAAAAGTAAGTGTCATTCATTACCTTCTTTAATTTGTGATTGAAGATGCTGTTTGTTTTTTTGAAAATCCACTTATGTCTTACCGGATAAGAAATTAGGGGCAGTTTGGTTGGTTTTCCATTAAGTCCTGAATGGATAAGGTTGTCTGGATGGATTAATTTGTCTGTATAAATTGAAGGAGCGTGTTTTTTAATTTGGAAGAAGCTTGGCTTTTTGCATAAAACAACTCCTAAAATCTTACTGAATACGCCACTTTCTATATCATTAAGCCATTACCAAACAGTCATGTATAGCTGACTGAATAAGCTGTGGAGTCCCATTAAGCTCATTAAGAAACGCCCTTAGACTTATAAGACTTATTTTTCCTTTATGTAATAAGAGCTTAAAACCCCTTGACATCCTACGAGAGGTAAAACCATGTCTTGTTAGTTTTTAATATCGTTACTGTTGATTTTTCTTACACATTTAGACATTTACCGGTTTACAAAAAGTCAAAAACAATCATGTCTTATTGATTTTGCTTTATGATTTCAGCCCCACCTCTTATCAATAAGAAGTGAAATAAGACTAGTCTTTAAAGAACAAACAGCACAGAGATCTTTATCATTTATTACTTGAAATGTTTCGGGGCGAGTTATAGTAGCTATCTTTACCTGTAAATACAAGTTGTCAAGACTAGTTGGTTTAATTATGCTGACAGGTTGCCTTTTTTTCAGTGGAACCCTTTACTATAAATTAAGCAGGCATCTTCCCATTTGTTAGTTGTTGGCATATAAATAATTTAGTAGTGAATACGCAGTCTATTCAATGCCAGGCTTCTTCCACAATGTAAACGAACTCTTCCTTTATCTTCAATTCAATCGGACCGGGAAGGATGCACCTCTAGTGTACCAGTTATCGTGCCCACGGTAAACGCTAGGTAGCCAAGTACGGAGCGGATAACTGCTGAAAGCATCTAATTAGTAACCCAAAGCATGCCTAGGCGCATGGTGCATCAGGGTTTTTCATCTTGCGAAGGCACACCGTGCCTGCAGCCTTTCTTGAGAAGGCGTCCGTTCTTTTTATCAAAATTTTGGATGTAAGTTGGTGTCTGGGCCAGTTTGCATGCTCTTTGACTAAAATCCCATGGGGCCTGAAGTTAACCATCTGACAAACATCCAGTGATCCTAAGGGAACTCATAAATGGTGACTGCTAGTGAGCAAATCCTTGCCTGCCCCTATGAGTTACAATAAGACTTATGGGGCATGTTCCATCGGGACCCTGAGAACCCTATAGCATGACACGTGGCATATTCATCAGGAATATGGACGTGTTATTTATCATGAATGTGTGCTTAATGATGAATATTCATCTTGAAGAGGGACACATGGCGTGCTGTGGGCTGTTTCTGGGTTCTTAATCAATTTTGTGTTCCTAGGAGAGCTTTCCTCTTAAGATTTATAATGCTACAAAAAAACGTGTTTTTTTCTCCAAATCTGATTGCACCTGCATGAAATGGACCAACGTTCTGTCTTTCTTCTGTAGGTTCCAAGTATGCTGGGTACGTGAACACCTTCCATATCTGCAGCACGGTAACCTCTCATTGCTACTTGTTTTATTTACGAAATATTTTGATGGATAGGTTTGAAACTAAAGCCTAAATGACCGATATTATTCTCAGATGGGTCCGTCTTTCCCTGTTTCCATTCAATCGTTGTCCATAGCAGCTGATCGTTACACCAAATTGCAACTGAGATGACCAGTGCAATTGACTTTGAACTCGATGCATCTCCAGACACCCAATTTGTTCTTTATGCATTTTGGTTGGATTCTCTTGCACAAGCTGCTGATGGTGTATTCATTCTGCATAAGCATATGATTTTTAGATGCTTTTTTTCAAGTACTTGACGTCTCTCATAACAAAGCTAATAGTTGACCTTGTTTGATGAAATATGTAGCACTTGTTACCTGTAAAATTTTGATGCATTTTCAGGAATATATAATTTGAGTTTAGATTGAATTATGTTCGTTCCTATGGTTTGTTAAATATTGCGACATTAGTTGCTTCCATATTTTCTGTCTCTATAGTCTGCATTTCATTGTTGTTTTCATCGCCGAGGCTATTCTGTTAATGGTTTACCGTTAAGTACAAGGGACAAATAATAATGATTTGTAAACCACAGGGACGAAAACAACAATAAGTCATAAATCACAGGGACAAAAACAACAATAAGTCATAAATCATAGGGACACAAACAACAATGTATTATAAACTATAGGGACGAAAACAACAATGGATTATAAACCGTAGGGACGTAAAAAATAGGTTTGAAAGTACATGGATGAAAATGGCAAATTCAATCAACGACCGAAAATAGTTTATTCTAGACTTGGGAGTTGTTTACCAAATGTTTATCAGGTAAGAGAGAATGGTGTAAGTGCTTAGCGGGAAGAGTCACCATTCTCTCTTATCTTATCAAGTAAAATTCTAGGTCAAAAAACATGGACTGTTTGTAAGCGTTTCTTACCAAGTAAGCGCTAACAGGATAAGAGTTTTTTTCCTTACTTATCGAGTAAGAACCATGGTTGTTGCCATGTCCATCATCAAGTAAGATTTTTGTTTCTTACCATAATGAACTGGTCGGTAAGGTAAATGACCACATAAGTGTTTACCCAATAAGGGTTTGGTAAACAGCCTCCTAGGCCTATTTTAAAGTAGTAGAAATAAATAAGCGTTTGTGTAGTTTTGGTTAGGGTTTTAAACGAACATGTAGGAACCCAGAATCCTCTAATGTATCAATAATCACAGCTTAGGTCAATAGATGAGCGGAAACAATAGCTATGATATTGAAAAGTTAGCAGAAATGAACAAAACACAAATAGCATTAAAGTGTTGAATAAGTCGGTTGTATTGATTGAAGAAAGTTACAAGAACACCAAGAACACTCTTGAGTGCGTGTAACCAAAAACTCTCAATATTTATTTAAATCGCACAAGTGTATAGCTATTTTCTCTCTAGCAGCAAGGAGCATCTTCAAGTTTTGGCAAATTGGAGAATGTTTCCTTAGAGAAAACATCCTTTTATATGCCATTTCCAAACAAAATCTTCTATAATTTAGGCTTCAAACTTTGTCAACACTTCCAGAATCATTAGCCTTCACATTCCTTGAAAGTTGGAACCGTTTCTGCACATGTGTTGGTCTCTAATTGGAACACTTGTGATATGCGCCATGGAAACTCTACGCCAGCTAAGGGGGAAAGAGACCCAGAGGCTCTGCATGTATAATGCAGAGGCTCTGTGTCTGGAGTTGTTACTCTACATCAAGTCCTTAAGTTTTTTGACGCTAAGACTTGATCTTCCTTGCTTGGCACGGGCACTGTATGCGAGGGATACCTCTGTTTTCGAGTGTCTCTGTGCCTTGGCGACCTCTGCATCCGAGCTCTTGTTCCAGGCTGCTTCTTAGAATAAGTCCTCTTGACTAGAGCAATAAGATTCTTGCTTACACTTCATGAAATATAGATCTAACAATCTCCCCCTACGCTTAAACAAAAAAGACTGCTTGAATTAAAATCTAGTCTAGGAAAGCAAGAGCCAACATGGTCCTCTGTATGTAATTTTCTTTATTGAAATGAAATTACATAATGAGAAAGGTTTCAAAAGATTTACAAGAGAAAGACCTTAGAAGTGTTGAAGTTTCTTGAACCTCCTAAGAAGCTCAATAAATTCTAGCACACTATCAATGGAACGAATAAAAGCAGAGACTCTTTCTCTTGCCGCCGGGGTCTGATCGCTGCTCCTGTGGACAGGGTTCTTGAGGTATTGCAAAGTAGCATTAGAACATTTGAAGCGTTGGTCATTTCGAAAGAACACTTTTTCTCTGTGTTCATTATGATAGGCCACCCCGAGCTCTGGCTCCACAATCACCGCCCAAGAGGGGATGTGTCTTATGCCTTCAAGTTCTTCGTTTGGCGCAGTGACACAGAGTTGATCAACCCCCATATCCAGAGCAATATGGAAGTCCACCTTGCACCTGAAGTCTAGCAAGTCTGTCATGGTTTGGTGAATGGCAGAGTTGGGTAGAGCAAACTTTATCCCTTTATCCCTCTTGTAATCTGTGTGGAAGTATAAGGTAAGAAGCTCCCAAGGGTTAATATTGATGAGATCGCAGTCTATGAAGACGCTGATATGGTCCTGTGACCATTCTACCATATACTTATGGAAGATGATCTGATTGTGCACGAACGTTCTCTTCTTGATGTCCAATACTTGCTTGATCCCATCCACGAAGTGAACTTGGCTAACGGGCTGCGTGTATTGATGAAGAAAGTGTTGTCTTATGTATTCCTGTGCCATGGGATGTAAATTCATCTTCTATCTGGGCACTTCTTCCCTCTGGTTGTATAGGAATTGGTAATCTTCTCATTCACCACAGAATCTTCAATGGGTTTTTCGTTGGGGACGTGCCTCATCATTGCTTTCATTTGGTCTTTGATCTCTTGTACTCAATCGTAGACTTGTTTGGAGCTCTAAGGCCGGCTGCTACTAGCTCCCTCTGTGCCAGCTCTGGTTTGACTTAGCTTAGGTGAAGGATGGACAACTCTGGTTCCTAGTGTTGTAGCTCTTGATCTTGGAGCTTGGACTGGTGGTGGAGGGACAACAACAATTACACGAGGAGGAAGAGGAATTTCCATTGGAGGAGGCCTTGTTGCTCTGGGAGGCTCCTCCTCTGATTCCATCACGTTTAGGACTACCTTCTCTTTATCCACCCCTCTTGGTGGAGCTATCTCAATGAAGCATTCAAAGGAGGACGATTCACTTGATGAACAGGCGTAGGTGGTCAAGAGCTTTAGTGCAGAGCTCTCTCCACCAAGTGATGTGCAGAGCTCTAGTTAAGCGGGCTCTGGCTGTGCAGACTTCAACTTTTGAGGGGCAGGCTCTTCTTGCTCTGGCTGCACCAATGTTTGATTTGCTTGTGGTGTGGATGTAGGTTTTCGAGTAGTCGGAGTTGAGGCAGGTACATAGGAAGAGGGAGCAGCGTTTGGTTGTTGCTCTGGCTGCGCTTTCTCCCCCTCTTGATGATTTTGAGGGCCAGAGTCTTCTAGGTCCCCATTATCATCAAGTTTCCTCTTCTTCCTTGAGCTTTCTCCGCACATAGAGGCAAGCTTTTGGAGCTTCCTCTTCTTCTTCTTCTTTTTCTTTTTGATCTCTGTAGGAGGCATCGCCTTAACCTTTGCATCAAGAAGCTCCACAATGTCAACCGCCGCCTGTGTGGCCTTGGTAATCTCCACGTCTGCCCTGAATTTGAAAGCAACCAAGGAGCATCACATTTCTGCTGCAACTGTCTTGGCCGTATTATTGAATTCAGATGTGAAGTCAGCCACCTTCTGAAGTAGTCGATCACCCAGAGCCAACATCTCTAATCTGGCTGTTCTGTCCTGAGGAACTCTTCCACTCGATCACATTAGAGATAGTGGCTCTGGGTGATCGACTACTTCCGAAGATGGCTGATTTCACATCTGAATTCAACAATACAGTCAAGACAGCTGCAGCAGAAATGCAATGCTTCTTGGCTGCTTTCAAATTCAGGGCAGATGTGGAGATCACCAAGGCCACACAGGCGGTGGTTGACATAGTGGAGCTTCTTGATACAAAGGTTAAGCCGATGTCTCCTACAGAGCTCAAAAAGAAGAAGAAGAGGAAGCTCCAAAAGCTTGCCTCTATGTGCGGATAAAGCTCAAGGAAGAGGAGGAAACTTAATGATGATGAGGACCCAGAAGACTTTGGCCCTCAAAATCATCAAGAAGGGGAGAAAGAGAAGTCAGAGCAACAAGCAAGCGCTACTCCCTCTTCCTCTGTACCTGCCTCAACTCCAACTGCTCGAAAGCCTGCATCCACACCACAAGCAAATCAAACATTGGTGTAGCCAGAGCAAGAGCATCCAGAGCAAGAGCATCCAGAGCCTGCCCCTCAAAAGTTGGAGTATGCACAGCCAGAGCCCGCTCAACCATAGCTCTGCACATCACTTGGTGGAGAGAGGTCTGCACTTAAGTTCTAAACCACCTACGCCTCTTCAACAAGTGAATCGTCCTCCTCTGAATGCTTCATGGAGACAACTCCGTCAAGAGGGGTGGATAAAGAGGAGGTAGCCTTAAATGTGCTGGAATCAGAGGAGGAGCCTCCCAGAGCAACAAGGCCTCCTCCAATGGCAATTCCTCTTCCTCCTCGTGTAACTGTTGTTGTCCCTCCACCACCAGTCTAAGCTCCAAGATCAAGAGCTACAACACAAGGAACCAGAGTTGTCCGTCCTTCACCTGAGCCAAGTCAAAGTAGAGCTGGGACAGAGGGAGCTAGTAGTAGCTGGCCTCAGAGCTCCAAACAAGTATACGATCAAGTACAAGAGATCAAAGACCAAATGGAAGCAATGATGTGACATTCTGTCATTTCGGAGTCTCAGGTTAACATTTTATTATAGATCCTATATTTAGAAATAATATTTCTCTAGGACCTAGTTTTAGTGATTAAAATTCATCTAGCTTAGCTCCCAAGTTTTGTTTGGAAGATCACACCTCGGTGGGAGATCAGATAAAGCTAACTTGTGCAATGCCAAATATTTTTGAAATGCTCTAAATAAAATAAAGTTGATATTATAAACTTTTAAAATAAAAATGCAAAAGTCCCATTTGAATGTCCACTTGATTTATCAAAAGATGGAGTTTTGGGTTTAATAATGTCATTCTATTTATGYTKGGWAAATATTTTAGTGKGCTTATTCTTATTGAGAAAAATAGAAGTTTTATTTGGTTTGGGCCTTTAGAGGCCAACCCATTTATTTTATTAAAATCCTTGTATAAATACCCCTCATCCTTTGAAAACTCTCATTTTCATTATCGCCAACTTGAAACTTTTCATCTCTCTAAACTCTCTCTAAGATCAATCACTCTCCAGC